GGAGGAGACCCAGAGGAAGACCCTAGACATGCTGGAGGGACTGTGTTTCTCAGCTGGCCTGAGAATGCCTTGAGATACACCTGGAGGAGCTGGCCCAAGTGGCTGGGGAGAGGGATATCCGGGGATGGGTCGCGGAGGTACAGTGCCTTGCGAAAGTATTTGGCCCCCTTGAAATTTTCAACTTTTTGCCACATTTCAGGCTACAAACATTAAGATATAAATTTTTAATATTTTGTGAAGAATCAACAAGTGGAACATAATCGTGAAGTGGAATTAAATTTATTGGATGTGTCAAATTTTTTAACAAATAAAAAACTTAAAAGTGGGGCGTGCAATTTTATTCGGCCCCCTTGCGTTAATACTTTGTAGCGTCGCCTTTTGCTGCGATTACAGCTGCAAGTCACTTGGGGTATGTCTCTATCAGTTTTGCACATCGAGAGACTGAAATTCTTGCCCATTCTTCTCTGCAAAACAGCTCGAGCTCAGTGAGGTTGGATGGAGAGCGTTTGTTAACAGCAGTTTTCAGCTCTTTCCACAGATTCTCGATTAGATTCAGGTCTGGACTTTGACTTGGCCATTCCAACACTTGGATACGTTTATTTGTGAACCATTCCATTGTAGATTTGGCTTTATGTTTTGGATCATTGTCTTGTTGGAAGATAAGTTTCATTAAAATGTCACAACACTATTAATGTATTACAGAAAATATACATACGGTAGGCAGACAATGTTATTGTAGACCAGGGTTATTCAACTAAACTGCTCAGGGGGCCACAGTTACCGGAAGCCGAGAACTCAGGGGCCGGACATCCAGCAGTTATTGTCATTAAGTAAGTTTGTTTTATGGTTTAAAATCTAGTTTTATATCTAAATTAACTCATTGGTGGGCCAAACGTTGTTTGCCTCTGGGCCTGATTTGGCCCCGGGCCGCCAGTTGAATAGCCCTGTTGTAGACCATTGCGTTAGCAGTGTTTCCCCTACCATTATACAAGCGGGCACCCCGCCCAGTCAACAGAACCGAGCGCCCCATCTACAGAACCCTACCCCCCACCCCCAACCACCTGTCGGCACTGACGTAACGCTAAACTAGTGGCTCGCAATGCAAGTGCACTAGCTAAAAAGCTAAAGGCAGCCTCTTCTTTCATGCTGAACCCTCACGCTGGACGCACCCTCACCACTCGAAAACTGTCGGTACAAACAGTGCATGGCTCAGATGTGCATCTGTCTCTCTCCCCCGCTGACCCCCCCCCCCCAAAAAAAAAAAACCCCACAAACCAACAAAAAACTGTTGGTTCACACAGCATGCGGCTGAGATATGTCTCTGTCTCTCTCCTCTCACACACTCTGCTCTAAAACTGTCAGTAAAACAGCACGAGGCTGTCTCTGTGTCCCCAAAACTGTTGGTTTAAACAACGCACTGCGCAGCTTAGGACCAGTCTCCATTCCCCCCCGCCGACAAAAATCACCGACGAGATGAGCGCCCTGCCATGGCAAGTTATTTAGGGGAAACACTGCGTTAGGTAATACATTCAGCAAGTACTTTTACTTTTAATATTTTAATTATTTTTAAAAGCAAGTAGGTAACACTTTATTTGAAGTGGTGTTCATAAAACTGACATGACACTGTCATAAACATGACATAACACCTGTCATGAACATGAACGAGTCTTAATTACAACAGTCATAAACATTCATAAAGTGTCATTCGGTAAATTATGACACCTTTATTGCAAAGTTGACATTGTTTAAAATGTAAAGTTGTCATAACAAAGACATTTTTCTCTTGGTAACTCTCAAGTTGCCATGACAAAGACATTTTAAACAATGTCAATTTTGTATTAAAGCTGTCATAATTTACCAAATGACACTTAATGACAACGGTCAAACATTCAAAAAGACTTGTTCATGTTCATGACAGGGGTTATGTCCTGTTTATGACAGTGTCATGGCAGTCTTATGCACACCCCTTCAAATAGTGTTACCAGCATTTACTCAAGTAAAAACATTAATGTTGTACTTCTACTTTTACTAGAGTACATTTTTGTCTGTTTATTTGTACTTTTACTTAAGTACAGTGTTGGAGTACTTTCTCCACCACTGGTTTTATCTTGCCTAGCTGTCTCAAATGATAAAAACTTATTTCAACAACTGACCTGATCTGGCTGTCTAATTTAAGTTCAGTATCCAGTTCAATCCCCATATTCCTCACTGTCAATTTGAATGTACTAGGTCAGTGAGCCTAGGTCTACAGTGGAGGACCCAACAGTACCTCCAAAAACCAACACCGCTGTCTTGGTTTGATTAAAACATAAAAAATTAAGTGCCATCTAGGTTTTTATTTCATTGACACCTACAAACTGAATCAATTGAATATGCTTGTGAATTTTTGAGACATAAATCTGTCCTCTGCATGACAGTGGAAAGAAGTGTTATGTGGGTGTCTGTGGCTAAGTGGTTAGAGCAGTCCTCCTCCAATGCAAGAGTTGGGGGTTCGAATCCACCAGCAGTCACATGCCGAAGTGTTCCTGGGCAAGACATTGAACCCCTCATTGCCTCTGATGTGTGTCCCATCGGTGTATGAATGTAATAAAGCACTGATTAGTCTCTTTAGAATAATTTCTTCAATTAGCTTTGTACAGATCTAATAGAGTGCTGTATGAGTGGGTCAATGAGGCACAGAGTGTAGTGTAAAGTGCTTTGAGTGTCTCGATAAGATAGAAGGCGCTATATAAGTACAGTCCATTTACCATTTATGTTTTCTGAGTATGGAACCAAGTGGAAGCAGATAGAAAGAAAACAAAAGGATCTGTCACTCTGCACCACCCTGGACAATCAAAATAATAGCATCTTACCTCTATTCTTCTACACATTGCAACTCCTACCCACTTGAATATCTTGCAACAAAAAACATTGTTTACTTGCATTTCTTGTTCAGTGCCAGTCCAGAAAAAATGCTTGTACTATATTGAAAACTACAAACATTCAATATTCAAATCCTTCAGCGACTGGGGACATTGGCATATTTCTATTAATTAATTTATTTATTTACAGGTTTTTGATTCTGCCCTTGTTCCACTCTGTGGTCATATCTTTAGTGATTCTGGTAAATAAAGAATAGTTTGAAATTGATTATTTAAAGAAAAGTTAATAAAAATAGCCTAGTTTTGATGGACTTGCGACCTAACCAGGATGTACCCTGCCTCTCGTAGGGTGATGGACGTGGGCACCAGTGAATCCCACGACCCGAAAAGGAAGAAGTGGGTAAAGAAAATGGATGAATGGTTTATTATTGAGACTTGCGCTACATTGAAAACCCTAAAATTATTTGGTTATTGTAGTAAAACTGACACATTATCATGTGTTTTATTTATACTCAATCTGTTTTCTTTGAAATCAGGATAAACTATGGATCTGTGAATTATTTAAATGTTATTAACAAGTTCAATTAACCAATTTTAATAAGCTTATATTGGCCACTCTTAGGCCCTATTTACACGGACACGATGGGGGGAAACGTAGGTTTTTTTGTATGTTAATTAGAGGAAAAGTTTCTCATTGACACGGTCAGATTTTGTGTTTACATGCAACCAGAGGAATCCCCCCCGCCCTCCCGAATCCGCTGTAGTTACCATGCCAGGTCATTAGATGGCGCTGTGAATTTTGTACCTTTACCTAATGCGCATGCGTGCTGCCTCGGCGCGCTCCTTTCCTGTGAGCTAATAGCTCAGCTAACAACAACTTAACAACAAGTTAAAGCTGGATTTTGGATAAGAGTGGACAAATTTGACGTCAAGCGGGACCACTTCGTCTAACAGCTCCACACCGGTCGCTGAGTGGACCAGAACTTAGTCAACGATGTTGGACTTTACTCCATGATAATCAGTTGCTGATTTACAGCAGTTAAATCAAATGTTCTTAATAATGTTTGTTTGTGTTTAATTTGATCTCACAACAACCAACTGAGATTTTATTTTTTCCTGAAAGAAGAAGAAGCTGTCCTCCACCAGGCGGACCGGTTCTGAACGAGGCTTGGCCCAGGTGCACTGCAGGAGGACATCGAAGAGAGAGAGATGTTGGATGAACTATTTTTTTAATATTCTCCTCATTTCTTTTAGTCAATCCATTGAATGTTTTAAGCTGCATTAATCAAAGGAGTGACAGCCTGAACGAGCCAGATGAACAACGTGGGACCAGATTCCAGGATGAAAACAAGAGTCCAGTTCATTAATGCAGTTTACAGTTAACGTGTTTTTTATGTGTTCAGTTTAATTATCAGTGTTTGTGTGACAATTTGTGGTGTTGAATAAATAAATAAAATAAAAATTAAACCTGATGTCTTCATTTTCAACTGTAATAACACACAATATGTTTAGCATCATTTTAATCACATAATTTGAATTACATAATGTCCAGATAGCTTCATTTAGCTCAGAGCTTCATTATATATCTCAAACTAAAGATAAATACTGTTTAATTTTATTAAACTGTTATTATTTAGCACATTTAGTATGTTATAGTGGAGCGCGACGTGTGCATGTGCCTCATTCACAGTGATATTAGAACTGGATCAGATTGTGTCTCTTCCAACACAGATGTCGGTCACAGCACCTGGAATCTGACGTAGATTAACTACGAGATTAAAAATATATTCCATCAGTCGTAGTACAGAAAGCAGTGTATCCGCCGCCATGTTGATAGAAACATAGTGTCTGTCCGTGCGTGCATGTGCGCATGTGGTTTAACACAAAGCCTCAGCGGGAGATGTTTACATTATCAGCGGGGGGTCAGAGAAAAACCTCCACTCTGGAAGGTGGGTTCAGAAACCTCCGGATTCAAAGAGGGGGGCCACTGGTGTCGTGTAGATGATCAGCAGAACCGCAGAGAGAAAGCTGCGGATGCACTCAAAATATGTGCCGTGTAAACGGCCCCTTAAAAAAAATGTATGTGTGTGTGTGTAAGTGACTGACTGACTGACTCTCCTCCTTATGTTTGTGTGTCAGTGTGAAACGGTGGTGGAGGAACTGGAGGATGATATAGTCTCTCTGTTCAGTCAGGATGGAAAGAACATGGAAGAGGAATTGTGCAACAGAGTGTCAGGTAGGTCTCATTCATTGATTCATTTGTTTTTTCTGTAGTTAGTTAGTTAATTAGTTAGTTAGTTAGTTAGTTAGTTAGTTAGTTAGTTCATTTGACATGGATAGTGCACACAAACATAGAACAGAACAAGTCTGTGACTGATGTGTTGCACAAAGAGTACAGGTCCTTCTCAAAAAATTAGCATATTGTGATAAAGGTCATTATTTTCCATAATGTAATGATAAAAATGAAACTTTCATATATTTCAGATTCATTGCACACCAATTGAAATATTTCAGGTCTTCAATTGTTTTAATACTGATGATTATGGCATACAGCTCATGAAAACCCAAAATGCCCGTCCCAAAAAATTAGCATATTTCATCCCACCAATGAAAGACAAGTGTTTTTAATACAAAAAACGCCAACCTTCAAATAATCATGTTCAGTTATGCACTCAATACTTGGTCAGGAATCCTTTTGCATGAATGACTGCTTCAATGCGGTGTGGCATGGAGGCAATCAGCCTGTGGCACTGCTGAGTTGTTATGGAGGCCCAGGATGCTTCGATAGCGGCCTTAAGCTCATCCAGAGTGTTGGGTCTTGCGTCTCTCAACTTTCTCTTCACAATATCCCACAGGTTCTCTATGGGGTTCAGGTCAGGAGAGTTGGCAGGCCAATTGAGCACAGTAATACCATGGTCTGTAAACCATTTACCAGTGGTTTTGGCACTGTGAGCAGGTGCCAGGTCGTGCTGAAAATGAAATCTTCATCTCCATAAAGCTTTTCAGCAGATGGAAGCATGAAGTGCTCCAAAATCTCCTGATAGCTAGCTGCATTGACCCTGCGCTTGATAAAACACAGTGGACCAACACCAGCAGATGACATGACACCCCAGTGACTGTGGAAACTTGACACTGGACCTCAAGCAATGGGAATTTTGTGTCTCCTCTCTTCCTCCAGACTCTGGCACCTTGATTTCAGAGTCAGAGTCAGAGAGTCAGTCAGAGTCAGAGAGTCAGAGTTTCTTTATTGTCATTCGCACCTCATGTGGTACATGTGGTGGAGCGAAATTATGTACACAGGGTCCCAGTTACATCCAACAATAAAATGTATAAGAAAAACAGTAATAACATCTAAGATATGAACTAAGAAAAACATCAACTAAATATACACTAAGCACTCATAACATAAAACATTGAACATCACCACAAACATGAACATGAGTCTGTGAGCAGATGTGCACGCATGAACACATCAACATTGAAACAGATCAGCAGCAACATGAAACAGATCAGCAGCAACATGAAACAGATCAGCAGCAACATGATATGGTTTTTCACAGTGATTATTCTAGTTAGAGATTCATGAGTCTAACAGCCTCAGGGTAGAAGCTGTTCCTCAGTCTAGTGGTTCTACACTTAATGCTCCTTAACCTCCTTCCTGAGGGGAGTGGGGCAAAAAGTGTGTGTGCTGGGTGGGTGGGGTCCTTCATGATGCAGGTGGCCCTCTTCCTGCATCTGGAGGTGTAGATGTCTGTGATGGTGTGAAGGCTGACTCCAACAGATTTCTGTGCAGCCTTCACCACTCTCTGCAAAGCTTTTCTTTCTGCAGCTGTGCAGCCTCCATGCCACACATTGATGCTCGAGCACAGGATGCTCTCCACTGCACACCTGTAGAAGGAGGTGAGGACTGAGCTTCCCAGACCAGCTCGCCTCAGCCGTCTGAGGAAGTAGAGTCTCTGATGAGCTTTCTTGATCAGGCTGGTGGTGTTGTTGCTCCAGCTGAGGTTGTCATTCATGTGTACACCCAAGTACTTGTAGCTGGAGACCACTTCCACTTTCCAAAGGAAATGCAAAATTTACTGTAATCAGAGAACACAACTTTGGACCACTCAGCAGCAGTCCCAGGTGAGATGCTTCTGACGCAGTCTCTTGTTCAAAAGTGGCTTGACCTGGGGAATGCGGCACCTGTAGCCCATTTCCTGCACACACCTGTGCACGGTGGCTCTGGATGTTTCTACTCCAGACTCAGTCCACTGCTTCCACAGGTCCCCCAAGGTCTGGAATCGGCCCTTCTCCACAATCCTCCTCAGGGTCCGGTCACCTCTTCTCGTTGTGCAGCGTTTTCTGCCACACTTTTCCCTTCCCACAGACTTCCCACTGAGGTGCCTTGATACAGCACTCTGGGAACAGCCTATTGGTTCAGCAATTTCTTTCTGTGTCTTACCCTCTTGCTTGAGGGTGTCAATGATGGCCTTCTGGACAGCAGTCAGGTCGGCAGTCTTACCCATGATTGCGGTTTTGAGTAATGAACAAGGCTGGGAGTTTTTAAAAGCCTCAGGAATCTTTTGCAGGTGTTTAGAGTTATGTCGTTGATTCAGATGTTTAGGTTAATAGCTTGTTTAGAGAACCTTTTCATGATATGCTAATTTTTTGGGACAGGCATTTTGGGTTTTCATGAGCTGTATGCCATAATCATCAGTATTAAAACAATTAAAGACCTGAAATATTTCAGTTGGTCTGCAATGAATCTGAAATATATGAAAGTTTCATTTTTATCATTACATTATGGAAAATAATGACCTTTATCACAATATGCTAATTTTTTGAGAAGGACCTGTACATGCAGTCATCAGGAAGATGGACGGAGTGCACAAAGCTGCTACTATGTAGATGAACAGATGCTGGGATATATTCATCATTTAACGCGAGTTCCTCATTTTTCTGGACTGAATAAAACGTGCATTGAATTTAAGGAAATGCAAACGTGAGACGTCATTTATATTTGACCCATCAAAATGAATGCGGTCATTTATTTACAGAATCAAATTTAACATCAAACATTTACATTAATTTGGCAAATTATGAAAATAACAATAAAGCAATCAATCAGGAAAAATCATACGGCCATGATTTTTCCGTTGCTGCACCACAGACATTTATAAAACTGTACAACTATGATCTTTTGCCCACATGAATGTGGGTGAGCATTTTACACAGACATTTCTAAATATCTGGAAGAATTTCTACTTGATAGAAAAGTTTAAAGATGGGAAGAAGTTTAGAGGGAGTTAAGATTGAATGGGAGGGGAGGAATGTTCGCCAGAACCGACACTCTCCATCAGAAGCCCAGCTCGCCTCGGTACGCTTGGTAGGAAACTTGACCCATTACCTCTCTGATGATAATCAGCAGATATGGTGTTCCGTTAACGCTACCGGTCCAGCGTCTCCTTAGAATGGCTGTTGCCCGTCAGAAGTAGTGGCGAGGCTCTGTTCGACACACATTCACCTCAGTGGAAAATGTTATAATCCCATGGAACTCGGAAGAGCTTCGTTGTCATGTCAGGAACTCCCACAGAACTCTTGAAGTCTGACAACTCTCCAACTCTGTAACTCCGTGAGTCCGTGAGTCTCTGAGGACCAGGAAGTACTGACATTTTAAAAGACTCTTTCCCGGTTCACTTTTTGGGATTTTTCATTGGTCAGAAACGACCAGAAGGGGTGTGTTTTTGTGACGTAATAGGTTAGAGACAGCGAGAATTGTTATGAGACAGCTCAGAAATGTTCTCACAGACCGAGAGGGTTCTGTTTTGGCGTGCCTAAGACACAGGTGCAAAACATCTCTATTTACGTCTGAGAGGATTCTAAAACATGACAGTTTTAACATAACAACTTGTTTTTCGTTTGACTGTAACCTTGTAAACGCACACACTTGCTCATTCAAAAGACAGAAAATCAAGAAATGCTTATTCAGGTGATTTCTTCTCTGAATGAGGAATAAAAATCATTACTTACTGTTTATGTAAAATAAAAATGAGTAGTTCTTTTCAACCTGTAAAGCATTGAGTGAACTAACACAACTTGATTATCAAAACATTTGTAAGACAGTAATGATTATAAAAAGAGAGTGTTCTTTTCACTTGAATCTTCAAGAAAGAAAGTCTCAGGATGGGTGAACCTGTATTTATGGAGTCAAATACATGAAATGACAGCTTCTGTCCCACAAGGTTCTAAAGGTCAAGAGTTTTGACCTTAGACTGGGTTCCGACGTAGGCTTAGTCCACTACAGTCCCCCCTTTGGAAATCATCACCTGTCCATGGAGATGAATTCCAACTATGGACTTACGTCGTCGATCGTCCTTGAAGCTTGATGTAATCCAGCAAAGAAACAAGAGTCAAGAGTAATCCAGCAAGGAAAACAAAAGTCAAAAGTAATCCAGCAAGGAAAACAAAAGTCAAGGTAATCCAGCAAGGAAAACAAAAGTCAAGATAATCCCACAATGTTCTTGGTAATTCCATTGTGTTGATTATAATTCCATATCGTCTCGATACTCCATTGTAGCAATGCTTTAACCCCTTGGAAACAGAGTCTGTAATCCACTGGAAAAAGTCATATAATCCACAATGGTAAATCCACAACGATTGGAAATGTTGATTAATCAGCATACAGAGGGGTACCCTTGGATTGAACTGAAGAAGCGGCCATCGGATGAAGAGTGGAGACCAACGTCAGGATTGCAGGTCGCCTCCAGCGAAGGTCGTCTCCAGCGACGTCCAGCCCGTGCCGTTCTGGTTCAATGTGTCATGCAATTATGTGGTTTAAAGTGGGCTTATGAAGGGGATTTTACATAAGGCCTTAAACTATATGCACCTGGTGTGTAAGCTATTATGGTTGGGAACAACTACAACTACCAGTTAAGGGGTGGAGCATGCTGAAAAGGGTAACTACAGGGGTTTAAGCCTATAGAAAAGGTTTCCAAACTATTTTTCCATTTCTAACTTGGGTTAAGTTAGCTTTACATGGCAAAATATAGTTTGGTTCAAATGTCTGTTGTCTTTTAGACGAACGACTTGAGATTGGGTGTTTGGTTTTCCCATACATGTTTTGGAAGTCTATGGCGAGACTTATCAAAAAGAATTAGCTATCCCCCC